TTCAGGAACAAAAGGGTTAAGATAAAGGAAAACTAGTACTTAAGATAAAGAAAACTTCGTACTTAAGATGAATAAAATTCGTACTTAAAATAAAGATCAATCGTGCTTAATCTTAGGAAAATTGTTTTTAGGATAATAAAAAATAGTTGTTAAAAAAGAAAAATTCGTACTTAAGATGAAGATAAATTCGTACTTAGGATAAATAATATTCGTACTTATATGAAAAAATCGTACTTAAGATAAGACCATTCGTGCTTTGAATAAAGATAAAATTGTACTTAAAATATAGGAAAAATTGTATCTAAGATGAAGAAAAATTCGTACTTAAAATGAGTTCAATTCATTGCTCAGTTAAAGACTGTTCTGCCCCTTTTTAGGCCTAGGACCTTGATATAGCCCCCCTAAACCGACAACGCTGATTTCATATCCGTTGAGAAAATCATATGTTAATATGCTTGTTTTTGCTGTATCGGTATTTCTTAGTTTTTGTATACTTGCCGGTGCCCGTTGGATTTAAAACGTCATGAGCAGAATATTTTTATCTTTTGACATATGTGTGCGAAATTTCAGGTGCGCTTGTTAGGTTAGTTTTTTTTCAGGAACCTCTATTGTGGTGTAGTAGAACACACAAATATCGTCAGATGTGGATTCCTTACACAAACCACAACGAATCGCCGAGTTAGGTCGGCGGTTTATATGGCCTGCGCAGAGGGTGGTTCCCTCGCGGTCCGGCCCTTCCGGGACAGACGAGTGGCTCGCTTCCACCCGGTTCCGACTAACCAAGTCAGATCACTTCCGAGGCTCCGCCGAGTTTGGTTCGGCTGAGCTCGTTCACAACCCTGTGCCCTCCACCAAAGGATGGACGACGGCGCGCGAGCGCTTTTACAGGTCACCGAGCGCAGAGGCTGCTCAGCTAGAAGTGTTACGGCACCCGGGCTATCCGACGTACCGGCCCGCTGAGTATGCGGTACTTTCTTTCGCGCGTAGCGAGACTTTGTCCTACCCGGACCGACCTAATCTCTTGGCGCTACCAGTCAATACCCTACAAGCTATGCCTCTCGAGTATTGACGGCAGGCATAATCCAGCCCTATGCAGGGACTTACCGGAAAAGTGTACACGTGTCTTGGGACTAGTAGTTCATCTGGTCTTCCATTCCATGGAGGAATGAAGAATGATCTGGGTTTGGACGACTTTCAGAATCGCAAAGTCCAGCAGAGAGCTGCGAGCAACAACTTCAACAGCTTCAATACCTTCCTTCAACGCCAGAGACACCATGCTTCCCACAGTGTGTTGCTCCGTTAGGTTATGGTCGCATGTCACCGCTAGAGTCGGGCTGAAAAACACACCCATTCCAACACCGTTGCGTTCTTCGTCTTCTTCCACGATCACAAATACTGCCTTTTCGACTTGTTCTTGAACGTTTGGCTGGATAAAATAGCGTGAATCGCTTTCTGCGCGCTTCGGCAGTTGCACAATGAGCGCATTCTCTCCATTATTCCCATACGCCGTCACTGGGGACCACGACTGGGGCAGCAGCACGCTTCGCTTCGCATCGTACTCCGCCCGGTTCGCAAAGACTGTGAGATCGGACGCAGCAATCCCTGCTAGGTGGCTGTCTCTGAGCTTCTCCTTCACCGCATCCCGCAACGTATCCACATCTTCAACATCCACCCCGACAGAAGTCGTCGATGTGAGATCCTTGCCGTTCTCGCCCACGAGCAGGAACCATTTCCGCGCCACCATCCCTTCTACGCGAGGCGCACTAACGAAGTAACGTGAGACAGCTGGTACATCAAATTGACACAAACTTTACATAGAACTACACAACGCTAAACGAATCGACCAATTAAAGACCAGGACGATCGAAGACGAACCAAACGTGACCCGTGTGACAGTATCGTTGTTTAAATCAATCGAGACGGATATACATGATGCCCCATGATTCATGGGGCACGGGTTGGCGATGGATGCAATCGACGCGATATTGAGCGGCAATTGACGTATGCGCTTGCTGACAAGTGGATGTTAACGAAGACCAAAGGATTTAAGAAAGAAAGGTGCTCTAGCGGTAATGATCAAGGGAAGTGATTTCTGTATCAGCCTGCAGACGGGTCTCCGTCCGAAGATGCATTTCTGTGTCTGGAAGATGCGACGAAGGGCTTCTTTCACGAGGTTCATCAGTGTAAATGCGTCGAAGGGAATCTATCACTGGACGTTTTCGAGCAAGAGCGGTTGAAGGCTGCTGGTCCCGACGACCTATTCATCTTGTATTGCACGAGCCTAGTGACGGTTGACCTATGGTTGCTGCCGAACTCCGCATTTGTTGATGCCACCTGCTGGGAAGCGTACTACGGTCCATTTGCTGCTCGTGCACACTTCATCAAGTCTGTTCCGTTACCGTGCATCAACACGAGCTCCGAGGTTCAGCTGGAGTTCGTGGAGGGTGTAGGCCCGGCCTACCGTGCCCGAATCGCGAAGAAGCGTCCATTTACGAGCTTGGAAGATGCTTTTGCGAAGACCAAGATTCCAGTCAAGGTTCTTAGACGATTTAATTTCAACACGGATTCGCGTTAGCCCCATCTCGGCCATGGGGTGATACTTCCTTTCGATCAATTGTACCTGTAATTCTGAACTATGAGTCTTTAAAAAACCTGTTCGAGATATTATTTTGGCATTAATGAAGTATCGCTTGGTGCTTCTTGAATTGCATGCGTAGTCCTTACAGCAATCCTTCGTATGTTTGTTTCCACAGTGTGTGCAGATTTTCATCTCGACATATTCGATTTTACTATGAGCGCGCTCGATCTCTTGCGGCTTTAACTGTTCCTTAGGTAATTTATCCAATCCGAACTTCTTTCGCATCCAAACAAGCAAGTGTCTCCGCATTTCAGATCTCGATATTTCCGCGCCTTCTTCATATGCTACGTTTCCCATAGCGAATCCGTAGCTGTTATTATTATAGCAGTCTCACGAAACTCATTGCTTCTATCAATAAATGACTGTGGGGCAAATGCTGTCACCTTCTTGCTTGCGTATGTTTCTTTGAGCTCGATATACTTTGAGCGGCATCGATGCAAGAACGTAGCGAACTCTTGATCTTATACTTTCTGCTCAAGTTCCACATCGACTTCGTCATCGGAGACTTGCTTGCCAAATTTAACAATCATCAGACGACGAACAATTTCGCCAGCTTCGTCTGTGTAGTTCGGCATATGATTCGAGTTGAGGCGAGTTGGAATATTCCAATCTAGCACTTCAATGGAGCCTTTCCCTTTGACGGGGCACGAAATTGAACCGCGAGTCAGCATTGATAAGAAATAAGCGCCTTAGCGATGTTATCGTGTCGTCCGTCCCAGGGACCTTGCCCATCGCTGTGACGACAGGTAGTACTTTGGCCTTGGATGCACCTTCGCCGGCGTACTCAACTGGCAATGTGGCTCCCGCTCCACACTTCACGTCGCTGTTTGGTGCCTCCT